TTTTTTGCTCTTTTATTTTTACACATTCTAGCTAGCAATTTTGAGTTTTTGTTAGTAAATTCAAAAAAATGTCTCTTTAAGTACATCAAATCTCTCTGGACTTTCTCTATTTCTACATTATCTAATTCCTTTCTCTTAGCCTGAATTTCTAATAAAATTTTTCTATCTTTTTCTATAAAAAAAACTATTTTCAAAATTTTTCAAATCTTCTTCCAATTTTTTCACATGTCTCTCCTTAATTTTTTTTAATTTACACGATTCTCTTATTGTTATTCCTCTTGTGATTGCTTTCATTGTGTCCCACAACAGGCCTGGTTTAGCACCTCCCGTTTCATTTATTGTCCATAATTCTAACCATTCCTTCTTTATCTTTTCTATTATTTCTGGGTACTGCAGAATATTATTATCGATTCTCCATCTTTTGGAGTCTTTATAATCTTTCTTTATTTCAATCTCTATTAACATCAATGCATGCTCTGTTATTTTTATAGGGTTTATTTCGGTATCAACTATCTTAGAAATTAAATCTTGAGATATAAATATATGATCTATTCTAGAGTAAGTGTTATGTACCGCTGAAAAATAAGTATATCTTTTTTCATCTTTTTCTTCACCTTTCATTTCTCTCCAAATATCCTTCAAATGGTTATTTTTTATCTTTTTACTTAATATTGTCTTTCTATGATGAATATCATTCCGACCATATGAAGTTTTATCTTTTATCTTATCCATAACCATATTGAAGTCTCCTGCCATAATAACATAACCTTTCTTTACCTTTTCCATTTCTTTAAAAACCAAGTCATAAAATTCTCCTTGTTTATTATTAGGTGTGTACACATTTACCAAAGTACATTCTTCCAACCCCATTTTACCTTGCATTATTATATATCTACCATTAGAATCTTTTACTACCTTTTCTACTTTAAATTTGTAAAACTCATTTTACAAAATGATGTTTTTTTAAAGTTCAACGACTTCCACTGTCAATAGAACCTGAAAGTTTCACAAAATGGATCCATAGCCATGTGCCACATGTAAGGAAATAACAAAACAAGAAACGTACATGCTTGCAGTTGGATTGTACTGCTAGTCTTCTATGACGTTACATCTAAAATTGTATTTTAATCATTTTATCTTTTATTGTATTTTAATTGCATTTTAATTGTTGTAAGCCGCCCAGAGACCTTTGGGTAGAGTGGGCAGCATATAAGATAAACAAACAAACAAACAAACAAATAAATTGAAATGAAACGAGGCAGAAATACCAAGTCTTGTTTTTAAGAAGAAAAGATGCTAACACATCTACATAGTTTGTTCTACCCCAAAACTAATTTCTTTCCTTCTGATTCTGAGTAAATTTTGTAGCTTTCTAGGAAAAAAAGAGGAGGCAGAATAGAAAGCTAAAGCAATTACAGGACATATTCTGTATATCTCCTTTGTGTTATGGAGTGTTGTCTCTACTGTGTTTACAGTATTATTTTGTGGATTATGAGGTTGGCTTTGGTTGATTTAAAAAAATACAGGGAGATTAGAGGCACTTTACTTTCAGCAGCTACATACTTTGGAATTTCCTCTTCCTATTAAGTCACAAAGGCTTTTGTGTTTATTATTTTAAGCCAAGGGACTGAATATGACAGGATCCAATCTCAATGCCTTAAAATAATTAACAGCTTGCTTTGTTGTCCCCCCCCCCAAAGGCAGCTGTTTAAAGAGGACCCAGCAACCATTATGTAAATCACATCATAAATGCATCTAAAACTTCCTGTCAAAATTTAACTTGAGCAACTAGTCTAAACCTATTGATTTAGACTAATAAACTTATTTGCTCCTTAGGCGCAAAAAGGCAATTCTGACCTCATCTTGTGTTAAGAAATTCTGGAAAAGTAGAACTTCATAGATTACCCAACATAGCCATAAACGACTACCCAAAGAAGCTTACCTTTGCAAACTTGAGTTAAAATAAACTGCACTGAAGATAAGGACCTTCTAAGCACCAGCTGAATCACATGAAATTTCAGTGTGGACAGGACTGAGGCCAAATTGTGTTCACAAGTGTAAGACAGTAAATGGCAATCTTTACTACTGCTATTGCCATCTGACCTCTGCATATTAATCTAGTTCCTTCTTCCAGTCTGTATCATGGTTAAGGGAATTGTGATTGAAATCCTATTGCTTAGGATAGTCACAAAAAGAACAGGACTATATAGTCCCTACTGATTCAATGGACGTACTTAAGTTGCAACTTATAAAACTAACCAGTAACGTTTGAGTCATTGGCGCATACTTCCATGAGCTCAAGCCATCCCAGTCATTTGCCAGGGATGATTGGATTTACAACTTAAAAAAAAAGATCTGGAGGGCAACGGGTTTCTCTCTATGTCTGATCTGTGTAAATTCCAGATGAAAACTCATTTCTGTATGTGATAGTTGAAAAAGATGCCACTACTATATGATTTTGCTCTCTTCCATTTCCCTTCTTTGTCTTATACCATTAACACAGATTAGGAGCCTAACTGCAGAAATTGCATCACCTATTTAGTTTTTCTATTCTATTTTGCATTTCTGTGTGTGTGTGTGTGTGTGTGTGTGCGTGCGTGCGTGCGTGTGTGTGTGTGTGTGTGTGTGTAAAAGAACTTAGGGTAAGGTGCATAGTTCTCTACAGCTGGCTGTAGTCCAGGACCATCTGGCACTAGGCTTGAAATCGAACATTTTAATGACAATGACAAATCCCTAACGAATATCAAGTTCACTTTCCATAGACTGCCTGCCTTATGGACTGCTCAACCCTCCAGATTTGTGTTCAGCATAAAAAAACAACAACAGAGAATCAATCTGGTACTGGCAAAGCAGAGAACCTTCACTGACAAGCTTTTGACAGGTTTCACTCACGCAAAAAACTGCCTCTGCTGTCTGCCTGGAAGTGAGCAGGTTTGTGACAGGCTGATTCCAACCAGATATTCTAAAAGTAAACTGCCTTTGGTCCTGTTCTGCTAAAAATTGCACCCTCCTCGGTATTTCTTGCTCTTCAAAGTCATGTTTACTGCAATGAGTACCTTTATGTGCAAATAAGAGCCCAGTAGAAAATATTCTCAACAGAAAACTCCTACAGGGCCTCAACGTGGAACATAGGCTGGCTCAGAGCCTTACGCTTACATTCTCTTCAAATTAAAAGTTGCCCAGTTAAGTACGCTTGCTTAAATAGATTAGCAAAGTCACTGAATTTTGGCCTTGAAATTCTGCAGCTCTCCAAAGAAAACATTCCTTTACTTTATGTACTGTGCTTTCCACTGAAACATCCTGCCAGGATTGGGTGGGATGGAAATTGGGATTCACTACAATGATGCCCATTGTAGTGAGCTGTACGAAGCTATGGCTGTAATACTAAGAACAGGAGCAAAGTCCTTCTTGGTATAAACATACTGCAATCCACTGAGTAGTTCACTGGTACTCAAGGCTGGCAGTCATCCACCCATCCAAGTTAAGGTGCACAGCATCCAATTGCCAAAGCCAGGGGAATTATTTTGGCAACTGGAGAAGATAATCCCACAAGATCTAATATCTGTGTTTGGTTTTATTGTTTTTAAATTTGTAAACCACCCAGGGTAGACCTTTGGTCTAGATGGGCAGGATAAAAATCCAATGAATGAATGAATGAATGAATGAATGAATGAATGAATGAATGAATGAATGAATGAATGAATGAATAGCTTCTTCTGTGTATCTCTTAGTAAATGCACATGTTTTGCATAATTTACTGTGACTAACTGAGGCTAATTCTTGAGGTACCAGGACATGCCTCTGCAGCAGGCCTGGTTCCAATCCCAATTAAGTAACCAAAAAAGCAGATTGATATTCTGGAAATTAGCCACAATGTGGCAAGTTACACAAAGCTTAAATGAACATCAGTAGGATTCTGGCCACAAATAACCAATAATAATTTGTCTTTTTTTTTCATGTCTGTAGCTTAAGGGAGCTCCCTCACTTTATTTCATGGCAAGTTGGGTCTTGTTGGTTCTACTTAAGGCACCGGTATCATCCTCTATACCCATCCATGTGTGGAACTATATTCTGTATATTATCTAGATCCAGCCTTATTCATGTTAAGAGTGGATGGATTTATCAATGATTCAGCACTGACAACAGAAGATGACACAAACCAAATTATTGAGGTACCTTGAAGTCATAAGTGGCATCGGGATTTTCATCACAGGCAATAACCTCAGGGGCCATCCAGTAGGGCGTTCCGATGAATGTATTTCTTCGTCCAACTGTTCTGTCAAGCTGAGCACTGACTCCAAAATCCACTGTAAAGTTAAAAACATATTTTTTTAAAAAATGGTCTGATTCATGTCATATAAAGATGAAAATACAAGTTAGGTCACATTAAATTTCACACAGGGTGAAGCTAAGCAAAGATAGATGCTGTATGCATGAATATTGAAGTGATGAATGTTCCACTCAGTTTAAAAGAGTGAGAGGTCACAAAATGCTTCAGAAGCTCAGCCCTGAGAATCGCTGGACCAAGTCAGTACAGGACTCATCATTGAGGGCCTCAGAATGTATCTTCACAATTGTCTCTCTCCTTCTTGGAGGTGAACTTAGTATATGATGGGGTTCTTGGCCCACTTTGATTACCTAAGGCCATCCAAGATGTTGGCTGGCATTTAGATGTACCTCTGGACCAACTGCCCATAGGACCATATGTCACTCCCTGCCAGATAAAACACTCAAAAGCAGTCTCTCTTCAGATTAACTTCCATCATGCAGGCCTTCAATTGTGCTCCAAAGATAAACTAGTACAAGGGACCTGCTCACCTTTCCAAGCTAGTTTTCAGTCTCTCTCTTCCCTTGTCACCCTAGCCAAATCCTTCAGGTGTCCATTGGAAATTGATTTGTTTACGTTCCCCATCCATCAACAAGTTCTAGGAACCTGGTAAGAATAGTTCCACTGTGCAAAGAAGTGCAAGCAGGGAGAGGATAAATGCATCTACAACACTGACAGGGTTACCTAGGGGAGATTTATAGCCACAAGGAATGGAAACAACCCCAAACTTTTGACCACTGATATTTCTAGTCAGAAACTCTTCACATTCTATTTTTTCTTTTAGCAGAAGGTAAGGATTTTCATAGGTTTATTTTGTGACCATATTTTTCTTACATGCTTTCATATCACTTCTGACTTAATGGCGACCCAAAATATAATTTTCAAGGTATGTGAGATGTTCAAGGAGTGGTTTGCCATTGCTACTGGCCAATAGGGTTTTGACATCTACACACTTCATGTTGAGAACAGTCAGCTTCACACCTATGTCAGTGTACTCTATGCTCTTCAACATGTGATATGGAAGATCTCATGCTAGATGCTCGAAATGCTCTGATGTTGCCCATTACTGGGGGGAAACTATCTGATACATTTATTAGTTAGTTGAGAAGTTTCAGACATAAACAAAGAAGAAATATCCCCCAGTGCAGTTCCATGGCCAAGTGGGGATTTGAACAGGACAAGATATTCTGAGTCCTAGCCCAGCATCACACTACACAACACTGGCTCTCTCCATAACCTAGAGTGGTCCTCACCGACCAGATAGGCGGGGGTATAAATTAAATAAATAAATAAAATAAATAAACCTTAAACTTAAAATAGCAAAAATCACTGTTTTCAATATTTTATGAACTTATGATTCTACATTGTTCTGCATTCTGAAGAGTGATCCTTGCCATGAAGACTCTTGTATCTTCTTTACAATGTCATTAAATGAAATACACTAGTTTAACACCAACGTCTCATTGTACTTCTTAGATCAGGGAGATACTTGTGGTGAAAGGTTATGAGAGTTGCAGTCCAATAACATATGAATGACCACAAATGGCACACCCCTGTCTCAGAAAAGCTCTCAGCATGTGTCCTATTCTTTAACAGAGCAGGGCAGTGGATTTTTTCCCAGCCTGATCCAACACGTCCTTGCTTCTTTCAAAAGTTACAGATGTGGTGCATAGTTGTGTTTTCTTACCTAGTTTTACTTCTGCATTTTCCGTCAGCAAAACATTCTGTCCCTTAATATCTCGGTGGATTACTTTGTGCTGATGCAGATGACTTAAACCCTAAACAAGACCATAACAAAAACATTTCAAGAGTTTTTTAAAAGGTGGATGGAAAGAATAATACATTCATTTTCTATTCTCTCCACTTCATCAACAACCCCCATCCATCCATACCATAATGGGAGACTGGTTACATTACTGTTCTTCTTTGTCTAGATTAGCCTGTTGAACTGAGTATAGGATTTCTGCTATACATATATTTAAAATGTTATTAAACACATGAAAAATTAGTGAGACAGAAGTTTAAATAAATAATATAAATATAAATATAAGAAAAGTGGCTGTCATGTTAATAAGTAGGTATAAACATAAAACTTTTTCCTCAGGCTGCATTTTCAGTAATCCCTATATACCACACCACACACAGTAAGTGTACATACCAATTTATTACCCTGACATTTCCCATTTAAGGATCTCATGTGGCAAAGGCTAAACTCTGAGTGTATCTCACAAAATTGTTGCCCATCAGAATGTTGGAATGACTATAACAACCCTAATTGGGCTTTTCAAGTAAATGAGATATTTAAGGAGCGATTTTTCCAGTGCCACCGCCCCAGTGACTTTCCATGGCCAAGCAGGGATTTGAACCCATGTTTCCTGAGTTCTGGTCTATCCACTACACAACACTGCACATCCTTCAGAACACAACAGAAACACAGCAGAATAAGCTAATGTATCTGGCTCAGTTAAAGTAAGTAACAGGCCATACGTACTTTATTCTTTGATTTTTTTTTTTTTACTGATGTGGGTTACAAAAACTGAAGAAAACCCCTAGCTTTTTGGAGGCTGAGGATAATTTGAAATGTTTATAAGGCAGGAGTAAGGGGTTAATAGCTTTACCAGTAAAAGCTGGACAGGTTTGTTTGTTTCCTTGTGTGGGTTTTATATTTTCAACTATTGTAAACTGCTCTGGAATAAATTCTGATAAAATGATACCAGGTATTGTAATATTGGCATCATGAATATGTATATGTGTGTGTATTTGTGTGTTCACACATACACACATATGTCCATATAACCATACTATAATCCTTGCTAATATGTACGAAACTGTATACTTCACGTTTGAGTCAAATATAAAGAGTAATTGTAACTCTCACTCCATGGCAGAGTAGTAATTATGTGTTTTAATGCTACACACACCTTTCAAAGGATCTTCACAACAGCAAATTACTGCTTCATCTTGTTATTCTCACTACATGTAATCTGAAACTCCATATTCCATGATATATTGCTGAAACAAATGCTTGTGAGTTGGGTGGGAAGGAGGGGATACCAACACAAGAACACAAATTACTATGCAGTTTGAGCACTGCCCTAATCGAATCATAGCTCATATTAAAAGCTTGTTTTGAAGGCTAGAAGCAAACTAAGTTGTCACTGTACCCTTTGTCACTGTATCACTAATTCTCTCTCCCTTTTGTAAGATGTTTTTACTTCAAACAGAAAAGTTTAAAAATAATATCTGCCTAAAAATTGCAGTCCTACCAAACTATGGTTTGTTTTTATGACTCAATTCATTTCTGCTTTAGATTCACATTAGCATTCATAATTTTCAAAATCAACATTATTTTCTCCAGCAGCTCCTACCATTGATTGTTATTACATCTGAGTTGCATTTTCCTCAGAAGGTTTTCTGTTTATTTTATAGCTACAATACTGGGTTTATATATACAGTATATATCCTTTAATACGTGAGACCATGAAGTCACTTCATCTTCAAGTATTGGTCCATCTAATTCAGTTCTTCTCCAAAGAAGCTTTTGCTTCATTATTTTCACCAGAGATGCCAGAAACTGAACCAGGTATTTACTTTGCAAACAATGGGCTCAAATACAGATCTCTCTTCCCTGCCAACTTGTGCGAACAGCCAGTAATTGTGCCAAAGCATACACATTATAAAAACAGATGCAGAAATCATCAGCTGCACTGGCACACAAAATTATCAAATACAGTATATGAAATTCTGCACAGTCAGTAAGGAGCAGATGACAATAGTCCAAAAGAAATAGGTCTTCCTTCCTCTTCTCTAATTTGATCATCAGCAATACAAATGGTTATCAGGTAGTTCTCTAAATGATGCTGAACTGCAACTCCCGTAACCCACTTGGTATCATGGGTAGGAGGTCAGGACAACATCCAGAAGCTCACATGCTACCCAAATACCATCTTCTTGTGCTATGTTCTGTCAATTTGGAACTGATTTATAGTAATTCATAATGACTCTAACAGGGCATTCAAGATAAGTGAGATATTTGTTTTTACCAGATCCACTCCCAAGAGTTCTCGTGGCAAAGCAGGGATTTGAACCAGGTCTCCTGAGTCACTTTATCCGCGACACCACAATGGGCATCAAACCCTGATGTAGGTGATCATCACTGCTGCCACTAATGCATGCCTCACTAGCAAAGCAGACTGCTGCCCATTCCACATTTGTTGAAGATTCTTTTCAAACCCGGGAACTACATAAATGCATCTGAAAATTTAAACACAGAAACTCTGCAAATTTACAACCCAGGTGGATTCAGAGAATAAATGAAAATCACAGCTGGTTCTCTACAGGCTTCATATCCTATTCAAAGGGTACCTACAAGTGAAGTAAGGGATCCTTAATTTTATACACTTTTAATATTCTGTTTGATATTCTGCTGGATAGAACACTGTTTCGCAGACTGTACATATTCCTATCTTTACATGTCTTGGGCACTGAAAACTTCTTGAACTTGGAATAAAAATATTTATGTAACTGTCAAAATCCTCCAACCAGCACGGCCAATGGCCTGTGAAAGTCCAAGAATTTATGTATTTATTTTATTTATTTCATTTAGGTGATTAGCTTGCTTGCTTGATTTATTTATTTAAAAGTAGACGACAGTATCCATCTGTGCCTCTTTAGGCACTGTGGCCTACAAGATAGCAGACAAGGAAAGTTTGACATTCTCTTCTGTGAAGGATGGCCATGCTACTTGGGAAATTGTGGGAGCTGTAGTCTAAAGAAACAACTTTCCCAAGCTCTGTGTGCCTATGAGGTGTGCTGAGAGATGGAGGAAAGCTCACCGGGTGGTCCTAGTTGATGTTGAACAAATTAGCATGTAGGTTTACACCAAGCCACTGGCTCAAATATTGTTTCTATCAATCACAGCCACTGCTTGCAAACTGTGGGAGCTGCTGATTCAAAATATGACTCGCTTCACACATGATTATGATGACAACATGCCTCAGATGACTGCATAGTTTGGGACTGTTTTAGATTCTTTTTCATTTGCAGGTTGAAGATGTTACTGCTTTCTTTTGTATCCGAGATGACTTAACTCTGCAGAGAGCAGAAAAGAATGCACTTTCAACATCAAAATGGCCCCATGGATCACTCATGTGCTAAAGTTAAGTACTTAAGTGTTTTGTTAGCTTGACTCTATTAAGTACTCCTGACTCTTATATTCTTTACTGCTGACCTCATAAAATTACTGTGCTTGCAAGGTTGGGTACTACATGGCCACTGCAATTATATGGATGATACAACTGCAATATAAAACACTGCACAGATGAGAAGAAGAAGATCCAGATAACCCTGGGGCAGCAGTCACTGACTTCCGGGACACAGAAAGCACACAACTGTTCTACAGCAAGAGTCAATAAAGCCCGACTAGTCCAGGGAGAATTGCTTGAAAATTACTAATCTTTCTTTCATTGGCTTGTGTCATTACCTTCGGTAATTACTCAATCAGTAGACATTCAAATATGCTTTTTAAAAGTGTTAACTCCTTGAAATGGTCTGTGTCTGGTTTAAAACACTGAGTCTGGGTTTCATTTGGTTTTAGACTTGTGTACTCCTTGGAGAAAATTCCAGCAGGAGACTTAGTCTGAAGGTCAACATATTATGGATTTCCCTGATGGAAATTGCAGGAAAACCACATAGAGATAATAACACATAACAATGCTCCTCATAAATTTCTCGCTGCAGCTATACATCCTAATTTACAGCTGGATTTTTTCAGCTTCTTTCAATAGAGCCCCTTCTGTGAAGAAATCAATAACATACTTAAATGACCCTGGTTTTCAGCCCCACTGTAATTTGAGCTACAAATGATAGCAACTTGCTGACTTCCCACCTCCACAGTTCAATATTTCTAATGCAGCTCCATGACATTGGCCCATCTTTGTTGTTATGGGCAGTCAAGTTGTCTCTGACTTACAAATGAGCAATCTCCAAAATGGCCCTGTCCTCAACAGCCCTGCTCAGCTCCTGCAGACTCAAGCCTGTGGCTTCATTTAGGGTGTCAATCCATCTTGTATTCCGTTTTCATCTTTATCGTCTTTTCCAGAGATTCCTGTCTTCTCATGTCCTGGCAGCCTGTTGGACTTGGCTACGAGCAGCTCAAAGAGCTTGCAAGTTATACTCACTAGGACAGCCTTTATGTACTGCTAGAGCTCCCCTCTTATCCTCACTGGCTGGCATCAACTCCTCTGATCCAGTCTGCCGTCTTTTCGGTCTTCTTGCCAAATATGGACAAGGCAGTGTTATAAACAGTGTTCTCCAGTACTGCAGTGAGTCCTGGACCCTTTGTGCACGGCAGGAGGGGAAGCTGAATACATTCCATATGCGTTATCACCTGGCAGGACAAAGTTCCAAATAGAGTAGTCCTAGATCGAGCTGGAATTTTTAGCATGTATACATTACTGAAACAGCAACATCTACGTTGGCTTGGGCACGTCATGAGAATGGCTGATGGTCAGATTCCAAAAGATCTCCTGTATGGAGAATTAGTGCAGGGAAATCACCCCAGAGGGAGACCACAGCTGCGATACAAGGATATCTGCAAGCGGGATCTGAAGGTCTTGGGAATGGACCTCAACAGATGGGAAACCCTGACATCTGACGGTTCAGCCCAGAGGCAGGCGGAGCATCATGGCCTCTCCCCATTTGAAGAGACCCTTGTCCAGCAGGCCGAGGCAAAGAGGATGTCACAAAAGCAGCAAAACCAGGGAGCTGGACGGGGGACAGATTGGATTTGTCTTCAGTGTGGAAGGGATTGTCATTCTCAAATTGGCCTTCTCAGCCACACTGGACACTGTTCCAAGTCCTCCATTCAGAGCATGATACTATAGTCTCTTGAGACTGAAGGATGCCTAATCAACTCTCTTCTCACAACGTAAGAAGAGCCTTATAGCGCAGTGGACAGGCTCCGTTCCAACGTTCTTGCCTCCAAGGATAGTTCAGGCTTGATTTGATCTAGGACCCACTTGTTTGCATTTCTGGCAGTCCACATTTCAACATAACTTATTTTTTTCCTGACAACTTTCTTTACTGTACAGAGTTCAACAGCTTGAGAGGTCAGCACTGGGAATATGGACTCCTCCTCACCAAGAGTTTTGGTTTAATGCTACATCTGCTGCAAAGCTACGTAACTCTGTTTAATATTAGCCAGGACTATGATCCATTAGATTATTTTCCAGGATAATGTTTTGATCAGTTTTTAAAATAATTTTAATCTGTTCCATACAGGGTGACTGGAGATACAAGAGAGTGGAAGGTCTTGGTTCTCGTCTCCAGTTACACATCCTTATATATGATTATCTTTTTTTCATGCCCTCACTGCTGTCCTTCCAAGTTTTAGTTTTCTTCTGATTTCTTGGCTGCACTCTCTATTTTGATTGATGGTTGAAGCTAAGTGTACAAAATCCCTATTTCAGTTGCTTCATTCTCAACATTAGAGTTATGTAGTCCTTCACGGTTTCTGTCTTCTTAATGTTCAACTGCAATCCTACTTTGGTACTTTCTTCTTTAATTTTCACTAAATGTCATTGAACTTTAAGTCCATCTTTAAAGTAACAAAAATATCATTCCCCTTGAACCCATCACTAATAAGGCATTTCTTCACTTCACTATTTTCTAAAGGAAATTGAACTTTTAAGTTAGATACACCTTTGCTCCCATCAATATTAAAGACACTCTTTTTATCTCTTAAAGAAACAGTGGAGTTAAAAGGAGCAAAGAAAAGAGATAATCAATGGTCACTCATTCATTATATATCATATTTAAGTGACCATGAATCATTCATACCTACAGGCACTTACAGACTTCTGTTTTTACCACATAAAGTCTCAGAAGCCATCTTCTAGCAGGCAAAATTCAGAGCAGAGATATGACTGGTACAAAGGTAATGCTGACTCTCTGCAAACTTTGATTTTTCACTTAAGAAGAGGCCAGCACTGGGAATATGCACTCCTTCTGCTTCTCCTCTTTCAAGTGCAGATTCCTACTCCTTTCCATTGTCACCCCAAGTCTTGATGACATTGCTGCATTTGTGGTGAAGCTTAGTAACTCTGCTTAATATGAGCCAGGATTATGATTCATTCGAGGATTTTTCAGGATAACGTTTTAATCAGTTTTTAAAATCATTTTAATCTGTAGAAAACCACTTTGAGGGTTCAGATGTGATAAAGGGTAATAAACAAATGCTTTAGAAAACAAGAGATTATCTTAACAAAAGTCTTAGACGGCCAACACAGATGTGATTCTTAACCACGTCTAAATCAAGACAAGAGGAAGATGAGAGTGAATTCTCCAAGAGAGGCATGGAATATGTTTTCTCAACCCCAGCTCCTGAAGCAGAAAAACACAATTTGGAGTGAAACAGCACAGCTTCCACACCAGGCCTAAGCAACATATGCTGTCAATGACAGGCAGAAGGATGGATAGACAACGTTGGATACATACCCGTAAAATCTCCCTGCAGATGTAGGCAATCCACTCCTCTTTTAAAGTGTTCCCTTTTGTGTTCTTGATCAGATCGGTGACAGAGCCAGCACCACAAAACTCCATTACCAACTGGCAAAGGAAACAAAAGTACAATTATTATAATTAAACGGAAAGCATCCTGTGTTGCAATGACCCCACGGAACATCATTTTGCAGTTGGCAAAGGGCATTGCTGCTAAGAGAGAAAAGCATCTGTCAAACAATAGTAGTCTTTCTACCTTCAAGTCTCCCTTCATCTGCAAGGTTTTAAAAAGTAAAAGAATTCAAAGGTGTCTGAACCATCTTCTTGAGAAAGGGGAAAATATGATTAGTTAGATGTCATCTGTTTAGATCATTTAAGTATGCAAGACTGTACAATTCCTCTCTCGTTCATTCCCTGAAACAATGCAGGGAAATGGATAACAATCAGCAATACTCATGTCGAAACAATGCAGGGAAATGGATAACAATCATTTCCATTTAACTGATCACCAACTAAAGCCAAGAGACAGCAATTCTCATGCATCCCGTGGAGTTAATGGCTCACAACAAATCTGCATACAGGTTAAAGAGTTCCTGTTAAATTTTCATGCCAGTAGGACTCAGTGCTGCTATGCAAGACTGTACAATTCCTCTCTCGTTCATTCCCTGAAACAATGCAGGGAAATGGATAACAATCAGCAATACTCATGTCTCCCGTGGAGTTAATGGCTCACAACAAATCTGCATACAGGTTAAAGAGTTCCTGTTAAATTCAGTGCTGCCTGTACACCACTGCATGTGTGAATGAGAAATGCAGGCTGAAGTATGGGAATAGTCAAAGAAAGAAGCATAACATACAAGTGAACAAAGTTTACACCCCACCTAGTTTGGAAGCAAATGTATTTCTATGAGAGTCCTGAAAATCTTCTTACTTGGACAATCAAATCCTAGCTTAATGAACTAGGATATGCTTAATCTATGTTTTCCAGGATGCAGCACATTTACCTCTCACTTGATATAAGTTACAGAACAAACCACAAAGCCATAGCTAACCATCACAGGTTCCCATTACTTTTGAACCAGGATATAAACAAGTCAACTTGGCTTCTGAATCCTGGCTGATTTAGCCATAACTAGACTATTAACTGTCTTCAGAAAATTTTGACAAGTGCTACACCTTTTTTTTAAGCGAAAGCCAGGCCTAATCACCTAAATCTATAGAAGAGATGCGTTCCTCCACCCCATGTACGGCATTCCTCCTGAACAAACATAAGAGTATACAGTATTCATGTTTGCTCCAGATATGTCTTTCTATTCTTTCTTCTAAACACACTCCTATGTAACAACTGTGCCTTAAACTTGAATATTCATTCATTCAAGTACATTTTTACACCACTTTTCATTTCAATAATATAAATGTGACATACAATAAAAACATCTACAGTAAAACCAATAGCTTGAAAAAAAATAATAAAAGAATAAACCCAATTTTGTTGTTTAGTCGTGAAGTCGTGTCTGACTCTTTGTGACCCCATGGACACGCCAGGCCCTCCTGTCTTCCACTGCCTCCTGAAGTGAGTTCACATTAATTTAATTAAAACTAAATTTAATAAAATTTAATTAATTTAATTAATTAAAACATATATATGAACAGCTAGAGTAAGGTGGGTTTTTTTTTTTATTTAAAAAAGTCACCTGAATACACAGAACTGGCTTTTGTAGATTCTGATATGTGTTTAGGCCCCAATTTTTCCATCACTCATATGCATGCCATGTCACCGATAAAGTGTGAAAGCACTACACACTGGAATCAATTGTTATTTCTCTGTGGCAACTGATGCTGGCATGACTATAATACCCACAAGAACAGAGCATGTAATGGATGCATGAATCCTATACTGTACTTGATCTCATTCTCTGAAATGATGCTTACAGAGTCAAACAGCCAAACTCTAACACAAGCGTGAGATACCAGTCGGCTTCATATCATTAAGCTGCTTAATAAGGACTGAGCATGCCTAGTGAGTAGAGAATATTAGCTGCCTATGGAGAAAAAAAGGAAGACTAAAAACCAAACTAGAAAGGGAACAAAATATCCAAGAGAGGGGCATGACTGGACAGCTGGCTGGAGCCCTGACCAGCAGCACTCCACAAGGCAGCTTTCCCAGGGAGGCAGAGATGTGGGGCAGAAAATTTTCCATGGAAAGGTTTCTGATGCTATGTTTTTGTTGTAATATTTCTACATACAGTAATATCTATCTGGATTTATATATAGTTGTCTAGACTGTTGTACTACAATCAACCATGTTAGATAGGATAACTATAAAATATTCTGTAAATTATTCTTCTAAAGCAAACATTGGAAAATCTAGAGTTCGGTTGCCAAAGGTGAAGTTTAAAAATAAGGTATGACTACTCCTTCTTGTTCAGAAAATGAGCAGTTCATGGCTATACCTGACTTGTACATGATATATTTGCCTTCTGTTACTAATAATCTTCAACAACAAACCAAAGACAATAAATCAGCTAATATTATTTAGAGCATCAGAAAAAAAATCCAGGTTTTTTTACTGCATCGCAGATTGGAGGTTCCCTCCGCAAGCTATAACATAATAGGTTATAGAAGCATGAGAATTGGGCCAAGAAATCACAACTGAGCATACAGTACCTTGATTCATTCATTTTTTTCAAAGATTTTAAAAGGCATGAGCTGCAATCTGGGCAAATGTTGAACCATTTACTGGACCAGCAGTCAGCTTATATATAGCTCTTGGCAATTGGTTCAGTTGGATTCAAATGAGTAAGCAAACATGGGAATCTGTCTTTTTGAGGCTTTAAATGATCTATATTTATTGAACCAATACATTTCAATGAAGTATAAAATCAGGCTTTCAAAATCTGTAAAGCTGAAAAATGCTATGGAGCTCTGTGTACTTCACAATAAACAATCACTACTGTTTAGAGCACAGTCATATGAAAAACTAAATGGATGGACAAGAACCACACAGCCTTTAAAAAAAAAGGCCAAAAGTGCACCCTTCTGACATACATATGATTCATAATTAAAAAGGGAGTGCATTATTCTGACACAGTGCAATCATGCAATATTAAAGAGGTGGGACCAAACATTAGAAACAGAATGAGGTTCATCCATTAATTTGAAGGTTTGTCTTATTGGTGCTACCAGCTCAACCATCCATAGCATCCTGTCCTTGATTTCTACCACCTTAACATTGAGTTTTTAATTTAAAAAAAAAAATCAACTTTGACTCAATCGTTCAACTTTTCAACAAAATCAGAGGATAGGCCAAGTTCAGTTTCTGAATTCACATTATCCTGAAAACAGTAGATTGCCTAACAGCATCTCTAGCAACTATGCTGTTCAGGCAAAATCACTGAAAAAATGGCATCTCACTTCCAAAATGAAACTGGGGCAGCTGTCTTTAACATTTTCCCTGATCCTGGCAAGAATACATCTCTGCTGCAAGATCTGCATATGTATTTTCTTCTCCCTCAACTTTCAGTTCACCATTTCATTATATATTTACCAACCATTCCGAATCTTAATGGTGAGGGTTGCTATGGAAACAAGCCACCCTTACAGAAACAATCAGGTACATTTTCCCCTCCAGGGAATGGCTCTGTCAGCAGTGCTTTGACCCTCCCCAACCTCAGAGCTCTCTATTCCTGAATACTGGATATATCTAGACCCCACAATCAGCAGCAAAACACAAGAAAAAGCTACTGGATTGTAAATGCCCAGCTGTGTCTTCTAGTTAATCACTTCAGGACACCTTTGTCAGTAAGGACAGATGACAAACATCCAGCTGAGTGGCACCTACCCTACCCCCATAGATGTGTAGTTGTGTTAACATACTGAAAGTAAAGAAACCCTCCATAGGTTTGATTACAGAATTCACATTGGAATGCCAATATAAAGAAGATGGGTCTTAAATTTTTATTCTTTCTTTACACTGTTTCTTATTGTTCAGAATTCACATCACTACAAGGATTTTGGTTATTACGCTTGGATGCATAGTGCTATGGTGATGTGGAGTCCAGAAAAGCTCGTTCCCAGAAGCTGATAGACAGTAACCAAGTAGGTCAATGATTTCTGAAAACTAGGACAAGAGGTTTGAATTGACTTGATCTTGGGCAAGGATAAAGTAACTTCTTCCTCCTCTCCCAACCCCCCAACTTCCACTTTGGGACAACAGCCAAATGTGATCATTTGGAGGAGAAAAAGCTAGTATGTTATTTAAACATCAACATATAGCAAAATAGGGAGATGGCTGGTGAAGGGTCTGATATACAGGAAGTTAAATATTCATTGGGAGAGATTTGCCTTTGTTGAGCCATGAAAATAAATGACTGTTTAACATCACAAATCTCTGGAAGAGGTATTTCCTTTTGTATTGTTCTCTATGCCCTTGAGATAGAACAAGCTGTAAGTTTACATGACTAAATGAATCAAATTAAAGCACTAATTAATGTACACGTGCACACACAAACATACAATATCAATAACTACTCCTGTTTCTTTTCTCTTCCATGTTTCAAAACTACTCCCAACAAGCAGTCCTGCTCCTTCAAGTTGCAGAATTCTCCAGATTTCTAGCAATTAATGTAAATATCTGCAGCTTTTCACAAGTTCTGAATCACTTTGTAAGAATGAATCTCTTCCAAGCCAGGCACAAAAATCCTTGGAGTAAGTAAAAATGTAATGCAATGAGAAAGTGGAAGTGAAGGCAGGGTGGTGATGAAACAAGTCATGCCCTAGGCAGTGAGGACAGATGATAAACATCCAGTTGAGTAAGGTCCCAAATGATTCTGACTACAGTAGAAACCAGATAGGGATGCTGTTAGTGAAGCTGGACCTCAAAACATAAGACTTAATCTGTTTGCTTGACTCCTGACAGCAATATTCCCATCTCCATCTAGCTCAAGAGTGGGAGCGTGCAACCCTGCAGATGTTGTTGAACTGCTGCTACTGCCATAAACCTTAGGTAAAATATCCAATGGTGATAGCTGAATGGAGTTGCAGTAAAGCAACATCTGGAGAGCCACTTGTTCTTTACTTTTGCTGTAGATTCTTCTAGCCACACAAAAGAATAGGTATCAGTGACACATGTTCAACCTCTACAACAATTTTTGTGTGGCTCCTATTATCATTATCTAATTTTAACTAAGCTGTGGTTTCCCACTATTTCTGTCTTAGCAGGGGGAAAATTGACTGTTCTGAAGTTATAGTAAATAGATATTCTACAAACTGACATGACATCTCTTTTTTAAACGACACTGAAGCACACATATGGTGTACAACACTGAAGATTTCACTACTGAGATGCCCACTTTATTATGTAATGTGTTTGTTGCATGGATCAACTGCAGCAACAAAATACAGTACTCCTACTGAGCCTCTCTGATCACTCCCTAGAGACTGGAAGCTCGTAAACATATAAACATTCTCCAGTATTTGCACTATATTATGGTTCCACAACATATACTATTGATTAAGGAAATGGGCACCTTGCTTCCAATGCAATCTCAGTTCTTAAACATATCAGAGAAAAATGAAAGATAAAAAAACTCCAAAAAAACCCTGCGATACTTTAAAGAAAGTTACATTCTAATATTTTAACTATTTATATTTTTGTAGACAAGTCCACTCCTTCAAAAATAATTATAAAACATAACATTAAAAACTACAAATAAAATCAATAGACAAAACAGTCATAATAACCAGAACCTGTTCATTGAAGAAGACTCTCCAGCTCTGTGTGTAACAGAACAAAACACTATGGAAGTCCTGAGGGAGGTGAGCAAATTAGCCACCTTCTGCATGGGCTTGCATAGCTGTGGCATAGCCCACAAGACAATCTCCCACTTTCCAACTTCTACACCACTGCCACTGATTTTTCTACAGGATGTTCACTAAAAACAACAACAAAAAAACAAACAAACATAGAATTCTGGACATGCTGGGCATTATGGCACAGCTTCACTGATCCCCAGTTCTCTTTAGATCAAAAGACCAACTGCCTGCTGTGTGAACACAATGTTTGACTACCCAGGCCTTTGATTTAATCCAGCATAGGATCTTAACTGTGGCACAGCATCTGATTTGCCAGCAGAACAATTTGGCTAGCATCACATAGTATTCTGATTTGAGGAAAACAGCTATATTTAACAGACCTGATTGGCTTCGTTTCTGTTACTGACCAATATGCACAGTGAAAACAGTATGGTACACGCCAAGCATGATGACAATACAGCATGTCAGAAACCTGCCTTGTTTTAAAGAGATCTTAATCTGTATTGAAAAGCTCCGACTTTTTATTTCCCCATATCACCTCAAGCAGCCTTGATAAAGAGAATTACTGGGGTGTTATCAGCAAAGAGATTTATTCCATCAGAGAAGACACTGAAAAATAAACAAGCCTTTATCTCTGGAGAAGGAAGAATTCTCACAAGTCCTAATGCAATCAGGCATCTAAAATGAAGTGATTTAGTAAGGACAAAACACACCACGCCGCTCTCAAATGTGGCCCCAAGGACACATTAAGAATGTATAATTTGCTCAGAGCCCCAAAAATGAGTTAAACCTGATCCATGCCAGCACTTTTAATGTTCAGCTACAGAGTAATACACTACAAACTTTCAGGGAAAGATGCTTATTTTGTCTCAGTTCTGAATGTGTAACAAAATGATATATGAACTGTACAATATATATTTATGCTAATACTTACAATCCACAAATAGCAGCCGTGAATCACACTCACTGTGCTGCCCAAATTGGAAATATATATATATATATAAATTACCTTTTTAAAATAATGTCTAGTAAATGAGTTTGCTACATGCTGCCCAAGAGTTACATGCAGCTTCCCAAGCCAAATTACATCACCCTTCAAGACCTCCCCAGTTGCTGCTTTTTAAAGAATGCCTATAAACCATTGGCATGATCCACCAACAAAAGAAAAGCAGTGTTAACCCCTAGCTGCTTTTCTGCCTTTTTTGCAGTATTTCAAATGTATCTTCCCTTGTTTGAAGCTGCTTGGTTGTTTTCAGGATTTCTTTTTATGCCAAACTGGGGAAGGTGGGGTATCTCCTGACTCAACTGACTCAGGAAGTCCTGCTTCAGAGTAAGTATTGCCTGATTTCCAACCATGAAATATCTTGGAAGGACGTTACAGAGTTTTTAGTCCTAGTGAAGATTTCCTGAGTTATTTAAGTCAAATAGGGTAAAAAAAAACCCAAAATTTTACATTAAAAGAAATGTTAATTAAAGTTAACCCCTAAATAAGCTTGAACAAATTTAAAATACCTGCTGATCAGACAGGAAAGAAGCTAAGAGCCCCTCTGCTATCTTTTAGGTCATGGAATGCACTGCTGACTTTTTCTCCACCTTACTTTAGGTGGGAATTGAGCTATAGCCTTTGGTATGCCAGGCAAAGTGGAATATGGACCACTCATAGACCATGATTTCCTGAGCCTACTCTAGTAACAACCTACAACATGTCCTAATATCATTATACTTTGCACTTCCCTGCCTCTATTAAAAGGGAAGTACAGGAATGCAGAATACCAATTGCAAGAGGTAAATTATATAATATCACAAAGACTGAAGGGGAAATTACTTTCAAAAAAACACCCCTTACCCAGAGCTGATCATCCATTCCTGGTGGGTTCTTTTTAATGAAAGCACCATAATAAGTAGCAATATTTCGATGATGTGAATATTTCTTTAGCATGTTAATTTCTTGTTTAATCTCCTCTTCTTCATCCTGAATTAAAAGAAAAATAATTAGCGTCACTGAATCAACAAAAGACTTATTTTAAGGTGTTATTTCTCTTCATTGTTTATTTCTGAAGATATATATTCTTTTAAAGATATTCATTTGTTAATTTTCAAATCAAATACTTTAACGTTTTGTGGCCTGTCAGGCTATATGCAAGAACATAAAATTAAACCAATCATAAAACAGTATTTGGTATCTCGTGCAAATGCATACAAACAAGCATAAAAGGCATAAAATGGTAAAATAATAGTAATAAAATGTAACAGCATTCTCAAAAAAGAAAAAAACCACACTAGTATACATCCTATTTATACTACTAAATTTGTTAAATGAACAGTGGAAAGACAGAACTTATTGCCTGCTTCATAAGGTATTCACGTTATACATTTCAGTCTACCGCTGAAGCCTGTGAATGCAGGCCCATTTCTGATGCCAGGCACTGGCTTAGAACCAAAACACCTATTTCAGATTTAAATAGGAAGGAAGAAGAGTTGGATGTCACCAGCATACAGATGATGCTGAACTTCAACTTTCTGGACAACCTCTCCCTGTGGTTTTATGTAAATATTAAACAGGATTAAGGCACAGGACAGAACCTCGAGGGACCCCACAGGTCACTAGCCAAGGTGTAAAATAGGACATGTCTAGCACTATCTTCTGAACAGTCTGTTCAGGAAGGACTGAAGATACTGCCCCAAGATCCATCCCACTGAGGCAGCCCATAAAAACTGCATGGTCTACAGCATCAAATAACATTAAGAGCCAGCAGAACCAACAGAGACATATTACTATATCTCTATTCCATTTCCAGTGTAAGTCATCCTCCAAGGGGACCATTGCTGTTTCTGTCCCATACCCAGGCCTGAAGTCATACTGAAAAGGATCTGGATAAGCCATCTTATCCACGAACACCTTGGGCTGCCACTGGATGCTCTAAGCGCTTTGCCCAAGATTTCAACAGAAGTCTTACAACCACCCCAATTAGGCAAATTAGAATTCTGCCTTGTTGAAAAGAGATACTCTTCACACTCTTTATCCCCTCAGCCAGCCAACACACTACCACAGCCTTTTTAATGAGCCAGGAAGGGCAAAGGTCCGATGGACCTCAGCTCTCTAAGGATCCATGCTGTCCTCATGCTGTACAAACAGAACATTATTCATTACTGTTGGAAAAGCGGGTGCCAAAGGAACTGTTTCATTAACAGCATCTGATTCAGAGTGAATCTGAGCAGTCTAATCTCCAAAGTGTCTTGCAAACTATTCAAATCATAATAGGCTTTTGACCTCTCAAGACAGTTCTGCTGAGTGATTTTAAGCAGATGTCATTCTATGCTGAGAAAAATACTTTTTAATATGCCCATAGTGTCACAGCAAAGGCTTTCTTATGAGCTGTAGCCTGTGTTCAATCAGACTTCTGAGTTTTCAGCACTGTTTGCTGTCCTGCTCATTTCATCACTGCCAACTCCCTTGTAAGGTAAGAAGTGAGCCTGGCTTCACTCTGTGGGAAAGGGCACACACGTATGTCTTGTATTATCCTGGCCATTTGCCCTTTTCAGAGATCATCCAGAGTTTCAACAGAAATGTCATGGCAGCAGGACATTCTCCAAGTGTTATCAAGAAACTGCCCAGATCCATCTTTCTCCTGGGTGGAGACTTGCCTCTCACGCCTGCAGAAGCTGTTAAGTCCCAAAAACTCTAAGCTCCATCAGTTAGGACTACATAGAGTTCCTTCATATCCAGATCACCATGATCTTATCCAGCACAAAGAAACAGGCCTAAGTTGCACTCCATCTCATAAGTGGAGTCTGAAACCATTTGGGACTAAACTATGGTCATCATGGAGGACATGAAGTCTTGAGCCACATGACATGGCATGAAGTCCCACAGCATCACTAGCTAAGAAGACTCAAGCACCAATCCTGAGACCAGCTCAACGAACTCAGGAAGGGAGACTGTTGAGCAGGGTTGATATATCAACAGAATCTTTATTTCTTCCTAGTCATCCACACATAGATATACTCACAACCAGTAGACTGTAGGATGGGGTTGAGGGTAATAGAATCACAGAAGACCATTGCAACTCTGCCTCCATACCCCCCAGGTTATGCTGTAATGGATGAAGCTGACAGAGATTAACTCACCAGCTTCATCCAGTCCATAACACAGGTCAGATTGGTATGCTAGTGAAGGATGAAATTCTGGGTACCTGTTGTTTTCCCATAACTGCCATGTCTCTTCCTATCCTGTAAAATAGTTATGGCCTCTCTCAGTTCCCCTTTACAACCACATGTTTACATTACAGGTAACAACTCAGGCAGATAACTGCCCATGAATAATGTCTGTTGTCTTTCTCATAGTATTTAGACAGGTGGACTGACCTTTGCCTTGTGTTGCCCCTAAAGGGGCACCCCCCACCCTCACAACAGCTCAGCTTATATATCCTCAGTCCAAAGAGTTGTGCAGTAGGGGAAGATGGCAACAGCTATCTGCAGAAGAGTTGATTCTCAGTAAGGACACAATCTTGTAACCAACTGACAGTTCTTCAGGTAGGAGTTCTCCAGGAAAGAGGAGGCAGCAGATGGATGAAGGACAAAACATGCACACACACCTCTCCTGGGATGTCTAAATTGAGTTTGAAATTTACAAACATCAACAAGAGAGTAAAAGGACATAGGCATTTGGCCTTTTGTTCCATGTTTCTTAATCTCTTGCTCTCTCCCCCAGTGTCCTCCTTCTACTATCACCCTTGAGCCAATCCAGTTGGGATAAGCTCTATCTCCCTTTCGTCTACATGGTAATGAATGAATGTGGGATAAGCTCTATCTCCCTTTCGTCTACACGGTAATGAATGAATGAATGCAGCACTTAATGAGATTAGCACTCCTACAAAAGCAGCTTGCTCTTTTGCCTCGGAAGACAAGCAAATACAAGGACAAGGTCTGACAGGTTATGAAGTTCCGTATTTAAGAGTGCTTAAAAGTATTAAAGACTATTTTAAAAACGGGCAGTGGCAGCAGTAGCAACGGCAGCTTCTGCTACCCTCCTTCTAGCCAGTGGACTCTCCTTGATGAGGCTGCAGCCAGGATATGCTGTTGGCGAGAAATGCTGAGAGAAGAGGGGAGTTGGCTGCTTAGGTTCCTGGGCATGGATGAGGGAGGAAAGAAGGTAAGGCAGGGTGGGGAAAAAACATGAATGAGTGATCTTTTGCTGTTGTGCCAAACCCTGCTACAGCATCTTAAGCAGACTTGAAACTATACAAATCATGCCTTCAGGAAAGGATACAAAGGCTTGCAAAGTCACAGAATTAGTCTCTGTTCAAACCAAGACAAGACTTTTTGTGATATATGCACAGTGTTGAAATACTGTACTGATAATTTCAGTATTGACATGCATTTCAAGGAATAATGCTCAGTCTGAAAGAGCCCCTTCTGTCTCCCACTGTTCCTTTCTCCCATAGCTATCATTCTTCTTTTACTTAATTCCATATCTCTACTCAAAACTTCCTCAACATTTTCTGCATTGGCCATTACAAGTTAACTCCAGGGCATTAAAGAGCTAGTACCACTGCTAGAAATTCAGTCTGTCTGTTGGCACCAAGTCCCCCAGCTCCACCAGAAACAGGAAGGTCTGCTGATTTCATTTTTCCTTGACCACTGCAAGTCAACCTTGGCAGAGTAGCCCTATCAGCAAGTACAGTGATAGGCAGTAAATTTTCCAAGACCCATGACCTTTGAAGGCATTTGATAATCTCAACCAAGCTGGAATGGTTCTGACCAGAGTGGCAGATACCTCCCACACAGCTAACTCAGAGAATGTCCTCAGAGACGGCCATTATCAGGACTCAAAACTCACTTGTGAGTCTCTGTTTTTCCTAGCTTTCCCATGGACACAGTCACCCTCTGAGTTCCCCTGGACTGAATTAAAATTACTACATTTGAACAATAATAGATAAATTAAAACGATCATAAGACAGCTCGACCCATACCTAGGTAGGGATACTATCAAGGTCTTGGTGTCCTGGCACAGCCCACAGATGATTTCTATCCTGGCTTTTTAAGTCCTCACACACACCTATTTGACATACCAAGTAGCAGTTGACAGATGGCTCTAGCAGCCATTTAAAATTTGCACCACACATATCTCATAGCTTCAGTTTTGTTGATTGTAAGAAATTAAAATTAATAACTTAAAATATACACACCCACATGACCACTACCCAGAAAGTTCAGTAGAAACCAACTAAAAGGGGAGGGGATTTACCCTTTGTGTAACCCATACAGGGTTACACAACCACCCTAAAAATCTGGAAACGGCTATCTTCAATAACCATAGTATAGTACCATGGAGATACACAGGATGTTTATGATATTGTTACCCTTCATGGCATCCTTCTGGATTGCCTAGCTTGGAGAGGATTTTCTCTGTTGGGGAGGGTCATGTTTTGATACCTACACAAAGTGGCATCACATTGAAGCTTGGACCTAGAATGGATCTTTATGAGAAGGACACACAGTCCAGTGAAAATTAAGTATTTATTCCTAGAGCTATTAGATTTTAAACGTCATATCTAAATACAGTATATCATTTAATTATGGACCAGTTGTCAGTACATGGATCTCCGCTTACTAAGGAGTCTCTGTATATGCTCAAAAGAAAAATGGCTACGGAAAAATGAAAAGAAAAAGTCTGGGAAAACTGGAACAGCAGAAAGAGGAAAACCATACAGTAGAGTTTTTCAGAGGAAGCGAGGCTGAAAGGGAGGCCTATATAGGGGGTGGAGGGGCTGCTGAATGGAACTGAAAGCAAATGAAGTTGGTTTATTGGCTTAAATCCTACATTTAAATGTGTTTTAAAGACAAGCTCTTTCTGAAATCTCACACTGTTTTTCCAGGCAAGAAAATTGACAATAAGGCTTAAAATGGTGTGTGAGTTTTTCGTGAATCGAGACTCTTGTTAGTAAACCTCAATGTGCTTATACAGTATTTCCGAAAGCATTAGTAATTTTATACTTTCTTCAACTTTGCCAGTTTGGCAAGTGTAATTCCTTTCCTTCTATTAAAGGAACAACAAGTTTAACATCTTGAAAATCCCTGTTCTTTTTGTCATGTAAATTTCTCAGTCACCATATTTATGCATTTTTGGTAGGTCATTCTCTTAATTATACAACAGTTCTGTGCATGCTCATGTGTCGCTGAATCAGGCAAAACACAATAATAAGAATTCAATACTTTAATAGTTTCCTCTCAGAGAGGTGCAACATACATTGTTCTCCCAATACTGGCAAAATGAGTCAGCCCACAATAGCATGTCTTGATTTCATTGAGTTCCAGCCTAATCCAGTCTGGAAAGCTGCCATTTAGTAAAGTGAGGCACTGAGGACTAGTACCAGGAGAGAAATGACAGAAAATATTAGACGAGCATCTTTCCTCAAAGCCAGCATTGTATTTCAAAAGATTGTGTAAGGGGCAGAGCAACAAAGAAATGGACTGTATGTAGACTTAAAGATGGCCGCCCAACCTTCCAGCCAGAATAATGGAACTGGTAGGCAGAGTAAGCACAATTTCCTTGAAAATTAAATCATCTGTAACTTCTCAGTAAGTTTTGAGAGACCTGACAAATTCTTAGATGTCACTGTTTCTCATTTCTTTAAACTTTATTTATTTTCTTAAAAACAAAACAAAACTAGAGCTAACTGAATCACAGGGTATTTCTGTCCCTAATAAGATTTCCAGTGTACTGAAAATTAACACTGTTCCCAACACCCAAATGGGATCAATATACTGACAAGCAGAATACATCTATTATATTTCTTTGCATCTATTACGTATTCAACACATTAAAATGGCCTTTTTAGGCAGGCCTTCCGGGAGTCTACAACATGGAAGTGGAAGGTGTGGAAGGGGAGACACGGCAACTGGATGTCTTTCCAGTTGCCATGACTCACTTTCTAGATAACCTCACCCAAATGACTTGAGAATCTTCACAGATGTAACACAGTGACTGTTTTAGTGTTTCATACGGCCCATTCTGCCACCTTGCCTTTGAAATCTCTTAATTTATTTTTAGTTTTTAGTTTTGTGTGGATTATTTATTTTATGTTTAATTTTGATTATGTTTATTGTTTTTATATTATTGTTTATTTGTTTTCAAGTTGTGAACCACCCAGAGTGGCAGCCAGATGGGTGGTACAAAAGTAAGTAAGTAAGTAAGTAAGTAAGTAAGTAAGTAATTTTAAAAATGCCATGGTTCTTTTCCTGACCCTGTCAATGGTACACAAATGTCAAAAAGTAAGTGATTTTGTCGAGACCTTGTGCTTGTTTTGTCTATTTATTCTGTTTATTGTTTCTTTATTTTAATTGTTTTGTAATTTGTTGTTTTATTTTATTGTATTTTATCTTTGTTGTTGGCCGCCTAGAGTAGTCCACCGCGACTAGATAGGCGGGATAGAAATTAAATAAAATAAATAAATAAAATAAATTTATCACAACAAACAAACCTTTGATGACAAGTGACTGAAATTTGGAGACATAGTTTACAATTTCTCATGTGAGAATGCTACAGAATGTCTAAATCCAGTTTTTAATATGAATCCTTCAATAAAATGTGGCTCTGGGGGATTAAAAGGTACTATTCTAGTGCGCGAGATTAATCTGTACCCATCCACCTATTTATTCCATTTATAGTTTTTGATGGATCGTACCCAAAGTAGTAAGGTTTCACTCAAATATTGCAAAACAAGTCCATTTTAGTGTGCAAGACAGGGCTGAGCAACCTGCGACCCTTCAGATACTGCTGAACTACAGTTCCTATGAGCTCCAGCCATTCCGGGTGATGGGAGGAATAATTCCTCAATATTGAGAGGAGCACAGGTTCTCTACTGTCATAGTTCCCTTTAGGTATTTTTTGCTACTAGACAAACAGCTAACACAATGGAGCAACACCCCCCCCAACCCCACACTCCTCCTCTTCAAGAAACCCATAAATAGAAAGTATTTAACAAAGCTGTCTTGCAAATTTTCAAGTCTGTGAAGAAGCCAGTTACATATATTATTCATTCAACCCATAGGAAATTAGCATATTCACATTCCTATTCTTAGGTCACTAGTCTACAGTAAATGTTGCAGCTCATGTTGCTTCTAGTAAATATATTACAACAATGTAATTCAAATAAAAGCAAAAACATTATTTTATGCAAACAATTCAGTAACCAGCAGTAACACTACATAGAAGTCAAGCAGTGGGCATGTTTTGAAAGGAAAAAGTAGATATTCCCTACTTGACAGCAGGAAATAAAGATGGTTCTTGACAGGTCTCTGCTGGCAGGGAAGATACAGATCCAGGCTTTCTTTCCCCCTACAATTCTAAACTCTATAATGTCTGCCACAATTTGTATAAATATAACAGACTGAGTTCTGCCATTCAAGGGAACATTTGTAAACCAAAATAGAGCGTGCAATGATCTGCTGTTTACAAATGCTGAACTCATAGCCATGAAGAAACAGAAGAGGAAGAGAAAAGTAAGATAAGAGAATGACACAAGGAAAAAAAAGAGAAAATAAAAAGGAAGAATGGTCTACCAGTTACCTTGTGGAGACTAGAAATTTTAGATTACCTAAAAATATAGATCCTCTGTCACTGCTGATATGTAAGTATCCATTCTGAACTCTGTGGCTGAAGCACTGAAGTAATTGCCACAGAAGACCCAGTGTTCCCCATGAGGGGAATGTGTGTCATGGCTCATCACTAGAGATGGGGGTATTCGTTTTCAAATACCCCTGCACACATGGAGATAACGAGGATCTGGCCCCATGAGGCCAGACAGTCCACTCACCAATGCGCTAGTGCCGTGGGATCCATGCTGCCATCCTATTGCTCCGGAGATCATGATCACTGAGCCACTCTTCAACCTGGCAGAGAGGCTTGTCGTCCCACCTCCTGCCAGGAGTAGCTTGGTGATCGGGATCTCTGGAGCGATAGGACGGCAGTGCAGACCCCGTGGCATTAGCACATCAGTGAGTGGAGGGTCCGGCCCCATGGGGCTGGACCCTTGTTATATCTAACTGTGGGGGGTATTTGTATTCATAAACGAATAACCCCATCTGTACTCATCACAGAGGCACAGAGATGGGTGAGTTTTAGAAATAAGGATCAACTGAAGTAGCCTATACTTCAGGGAAAACCTTAACATAGAGACAGATATTTTCAAATTCTTAAGCAATCTTTTTCCAATGCTTTAATCAAACAGATGCGCAACTAAAAAGCAAGATAAGAAGAGTACATTACCCCAGTGACGTCCATAACTTTAATAGCTGCAAGCTGCCCTGTTTTAACATGACGACCCTGGAATAGAACACACAAGCAAGTGGTTAAACATTGGTATCAAAAATTCAACAAACTGCTTCTAATCCAACAGGTGTGGTGAATTCTGTCATGCCTTTTTGTCTAATACAGCTTACTATCTACAGTGAGAGGCATAATTTCCTGGAAAAAAAACCTCTGCAAAATTAGTAGTCAGTGGCATAACTTCATTATTCATCAGGAGTGTATACTGTACTTCAGCATGGCACAATATCAGACAGTGACCAAAATCCTGTTGCTTTGTGTAGCAAATTACACTAGAGTAGGTCAATTTAATCAAGGGGGATTTAGTGAGTCACTTCCTCCATAAATTCCACTGATTCAAATGGACCTACTCCAACTGCAACCTACTATGCTAAAGTAAAACACAGTTAGAATAGGCCCATTTGAATCAACTGAATTTACAGAGATGACTTACCAAATCCCAGACAGTGCATATCCAACTGACAGAGAGCATCCAAGCTAAGTGTGATATATATCCACAAGAATAAGCATGTTTTTAATTAAAGGTTTTATGGAAGAAGACAAAAAACAAAAATGACCATGTCACCGACAAACATTAATATCAAAGCAGGGATCTTGCTCGCCCGTGGATCAAGATAAAATTACATTAAATGTTTAACATCTCAAATATCATCTTTTAAAAAAAGGATCTGCATGAATCTCAATAATAATCAGAGGTGTGGCAGAATGTGAAGGCACCTGTGGTTTTTTATGTTGTGGTCTTTCTCTCACAGTGCAGTCCAGATAAACACTACCACCATCAGCCCAAGTTGCCATTTGTTGAGTCAAAGAAGGTGCCATTGGTGGCAAAGAAAGATTCCCCACCTTGAGAGGACAGCATTGTCAAAGACCATGGGTTTTAACTCAGGACTACATGGAAGTGAGGATAAACACCTTCCTCCAGCTGCTCTTTTTATTTAAACACAGAGATACACAAAATACAATTTCATATATTGCCAGCTGGGCTCTATGTTTTCAGGCACATTTTTTACCTTGTGTGATGTGCAAAAGACTCTTAATAACTTAAAATACTTTTAAAATGATTGCACTCTTACTCTGGATTTTTTTCTATTCAGCTAGTCAAAAGCAGATTTACTTTGCAGCTGAATGTACAAGTAATACACCTGAGAGCTGACACTCTGAAGTTAACCAAGGTCCTGGATGCTAAAGAATTAGTAGATTAGCCTCATTCCCCATGGAATGAAATGCAGTAACACAGCATAACTGTCACCTTCAGACAGGATGAGCTCTTACAATTTCAGAGAAGATGTAAATGAGTGTCACATTTCTCCTACTGAGGGGGAAATGCCAAATCATGTTAGAATTCAAATTACTGGCCAGAAAAGCTGAGGGGAAGCTGGGAATGAGAACCCAAACTGATTAACCAGCTAATAATATCACGTATTACAGCTGTAATTTTCCAGTTCACATTTAAGGCAGATATATTGTTTATGTAGTACAAAGGGTCATTTCTGGTACTACAAGACCTTTCTCACATTTATTTAGATGGAAAGAGAAACAAGTATGCGAAAAGCGCACTGATCCAAGGAACAGATGAACAGCAACACCGTGAAATCATTTTAACTGTGATTTTTGCCTTCAGGTAGTTTGGATATTATATTTTAAATATACAATTTCATCAATATATTTCTGCAGCTTGGTTATATTCTTTCTTTCTCCTTCCTTACTCAAGCAAATCCTTAAATATACTTAAAGTATATCTGCTTAGAATGTCAACTTTAATCTAACATGCAGAAAATGAATATCTGAATGGCAAAGCCTGGAAGTAACTCATAAAAATAAAGAACAAGTTGCTCATAGTTAGTTCTTTTCTATTTAGCATATTTAACACAAGGATCCTGGGATAACTTGATCACCTGTAGCATCTTGTCAAATGACAAGAAGAATCTGGCACAGAACATTTTACTTCTCAACTAATTTTGGGAATGACTCACAGAAGTACCCACAGAAAATAAATAAGTAAAAATATTAAAACAAATAGAAAAGGGGGAAAACTAGGTATAGCAATCTGTGAAGTCCAAGAAAATGAATTTTCAGTGAGTTTTTAGATTGCTGGGTGACCCTGCACAAAATTCATCAAAACTGCCTTAGAAGAAAAGCTCTAAATGTAACACGCTACAACTTAATCATATCAGTCCAATACCTCTTGACAATTCAAAGCTAACTATTCCCACAAATAGAACAAATAAACCAGTAGTTATTGCAGATACCATACAAGTTCCATGGTATTTCTCCAGTGAGGAACTAGGTCTAATATCTGAGAAACCTAACATAACCCAAGAAGAAACAAACTTAGTAACACTGCCAAAATAGGAAATTATTTGTAATTGTAAAAAGCTAGCTTATTAAAATTTCCCTAAGCCCAAAGGCAGACTTTCCCAATATCAATGTAAGATTCATTTTATGCATCTTGTAGATCTACTTGTTCCAAAGTTTACCATAAAGGATATCATATAGATAGAATATCTGTTTCATTACTTCCTTAATACACATGCTGTAGTGGCATTGCCAAGGAGGTATACGGACAAAAGAGTACATTCCAGAGGACGGGATTGGTGCTGATTTGATTTTTTGAGAATACTACTCGCGCAACCTTGCTCCATGATGAACTTAAATCTGCATCCAAAGATAATAGACTTGATAATTTTATTAATTTAGAAAAATATTCAGAACCCATCCCCCATCACTGCATGCAATCAAGACAACTCTGTTGGAAATAAGAACCAGTGTATCCAACAAAGGAATCCGATCTCTTTCATGACCCTGAAGAGAAGAAATTATTAAGGACTTTTCTGGCTTTATCTAATCAGACTCAGGATGTAATAATTGACAGAATATCAGCACAGAGAGAACCCTCAGCCTCACCAAAGGTTCTGACAAAAGATTCAGCAATCAATGATTTTTTTTTTGATGAATATAAATAGACATGTGATAGCAGAACAGTAGGAAAGGAAGAAGAGCAAGGGAAATAGGTTGGCATACAAACATTCTGACTTTAAATTTGCCAGCCTAGCATGCTTTCAAGGAAATCAATGACTAGTGCAGAATGGCTTCAAAAAAACCTATCTCAGCCCAGAGGATCTGGGAAATGTGAATACCCCTTGAGGCATAGTGATAAATTACCCTGTTTCCTCGAAAATAAGACAGGGTCTTATATTAATTTTTCCTCCAAAAAATGCATTAGGGCTTATTTTCAGGGGATGTTTTACTTTTTTTCACGTATTTTATTGATTGATTGATTGATTGATTGATTGATTGATTGATTGATTGATTGATTGATTGATTGATTGATTGAATTTATACCCTGCCTATCTATCTATCTCTCTCTCTGTGTCTGTCTGTCTGTCTGTCTGTCTGTCTGTCTGTCTGTTTATTTATAACCTGCCTATCTGGTCTACTCGACCACTCTAGGCAGCTTCCAGTATAGGATAAAACAATAAAACACAAGAACATTACATAATCATTTGATATAGTTACAATAAAATAGAGTGAGAATAAAATAAGAAGGAACAGAAAAGAAATCAGGTATTGACTGGAGGGAAGGCCTGGATGTACAACCATGTTTTTAATTGGGTTTTAAAGATGCCCAGCGTAGGGGCCGCACGAATCTCTGAAGGGAGGTTGTTCCAGAGGTGAGGAGCCACCGCCGAGAAGGCCCGGTTTCGTGTCTTTTCCTTCCGGACGTCTCTCAGCATCAGGCTCCTCAGCCTCACCTCCTGACTTGCACGGGTGATCTGGGTAGACCTTGGTGGGAGCAGGCGTTCCGCCAAATATCGAGGTCCTAAACCGTTTAGGGCTTTGTAAGTAAGCATTAAGACTTTGAAGTCAACGCGGAAATGAATGGGCAGCCAATGCAATGCAGCCAGATTTGGAGAAATACGTTGGTATTTTCTCACTCCAGTGAGGAGTCTGGCCGCTGAATTCGGCACCACCTGAAGTTTCTGCATCAGCCTCAAAGGCAGCCCCACGTAAAGCGCGTTATAGTGATCTAATCTTGAGATTATGAGCGCATGCACCAAGGTAGTGAATGCCCCCGTGTCGAGATAGGGCTGCAGCCGGGCAATCCACCAGAGGTGGAAAAAGGCAGTGCAGACTACTAACGCCACCTGCGTTTCCATGTTGAGTGTCGGGTCCAGATGTACGCCCAGGCTGCAGACCCCACTCTTCGCGGCCAGGGTCACCCCCCCAACATGAGAGAGTCACCCAAGCTACCAACCACAGGGCCACCCACCCTCAGAACCTCTGTCTTGTCCAGATTCAGCCTCAGCCCATCTATCTATTCAAACGACCACTCTAGGCGGCTACAACGATATATACAATGATATACATTTATTTAAATACAGTCATGTCATCTTCTGGTTGCTGCACAATGGTGGAGGGCGGGGTTTCACTTAACTGGGGCTTATTTTTGGAGTAGGGCTTATATTACGAGCATCCTGAAAAATCCTACTAGAGCTTATTTTCAGGTTGGGTCTTATTTTCAGGGAAATGGGTATAAAGCATATTTCAAAGCCTCAGAAGGGTAATGGACCTGTTTTGATAGATGAGAGACAAGAGTTGAATCAGATAGTGGAACTTGGCTGATTGAACATCAAGCTGAACAGTCAATAGGAACATCCAATCCTCATTTTAATACCTGGCCTGGGGTTAAACAGAAAGAACTGATCACAAACGACTACCAGTTTAAAATCATTTCATGGAACATGGCAGGCTGGCATCCTGTGCAAGGAGATTCGGGAGTTATGGACTTATTTAGATCTTACGATGTGATTTTATTACAGGAAACATGGTTCACCAAGAAAATCAACCTGAATGGTTATTTGGTAAATGACATGCCTGTTGAATCCTGAAGGTAAAGAGGATGTGCCAAAATTGGTAGAAACTTTGGTTCCTTTGTTGTTATATGTAGACAACGTTATTCTTATGTCACTCTCTAAAACAAGTCTAAGAGATAATTT